GTCCCTTTCCTTTGTTGGTTCTTCACAACTTATCGATGCGAAATTTATTTGGCACGTCAAAAAACATATGGGGTAATAGCTGGAGAATCACTACTATATAAGTTATGTTAAGCCACTTGGAACCAACCTATCAACAAAACTAAACCTGTGCATGTATACCCATGTCCTTTGTGGATCACTGCGCCATCAAAAACCACAGGGATATCATGATAGCTATGATCTTGTATCCCTTTCACTTTGTGGGCCCTATCAACCTACATGTGTTGTCCCAAGTATGCATCTATACCCCCACCTAGGTGGCCAGTGCAAGCGGGAGATCACTTCGTGCACGACTATTGCCATGGAACTCCCACCCGATAACTCACTGCGTGCATCGCTCTTGCAGATGAAAACGGCTTTTGAGAACCTCTTGGACCAGCCACTTTGATCAACAAAAACCATCGTTTGGTTTGGTTCTGCCTACAGGGAAATATTTCCCTGTTCAAACTCTTCACGTTCTTTCCCCAAAAATATCAACCCAACAGCCGAAATTAAGGCTTCGCGATGTTGCTGATGATGATCTCGAATCCTTTTTTGCCACGTGCTCCCAGAAGGCCGGTATCTTTCCATGAGTGTACCTCTTCTGGTTGGATGGTATCATAATCAGTAAATTATTTGAACATGCATGGCCATTAACACCGACCATCGAAAGAAATAAAACCCTTTAGTACCATGCTCAGCCCGCGGAGGTCAACGAGTGCCGCATCATTCGAGCCCAGGCGCGAGCAGTGGCCAGCGAGATGAAGAAGGCTGCTGCTACTGCATCGGAGACCTCAAAGTGATCAGCTTGACAGCTTGATATAGGGTTGGGAGTGATACAGCGAAAGGGCGCTGTATTCGAAGCACCCTGCAGGTGACTCTTTAGGAAGCAGTGGATTGGCAACCGGCAACCCATGTATGTTTGAAGAACAATGTCAGTTTACTTCTTCACTATCATCGGGGACATCCTGGAAACATAAATACCATCATACACAAGAATGTTTTTTTATTTATAGGTCTACTGGTGAATGGGTTATGCAGTATATATGTGTTTTCATGCTTTCGGGTGCCCAATCTTGGCCATTGCCCGCATAGAGATGCTGATCGTGTCGGATTCTCTTTGACGCAAGATGAAAAATGCCTGTCGCTACCAGCTAACATTTGGGTTTGTACAGAAATCTGGCATAATGTACCCCAGCAGATTAGTGGCTGATGGTTTTCTTCAAAATGAAAGATATACATGTACCATGGTTCCTTTTTGGACAAACTGATGCAACCGTCCAATGCTTGAACAGGTTCTTTGATAACAACCTTTGGTTGACCCCTCGCAGGTACATGGAAGCACGAATCTGAGACCCGCCTTCAAGATCGATTGGATGAGGTGTCCTTTACTTAGCGTGACCTTTTACTGGATACCTTGCAAGCAAAGACCCTGACTCTTAAACTTAAAAATGATTTTAAAACCCAGATAAATCCAGTGTGGATCCTCAGGCTTGCCGCCACCATTGGGTCTGGGTACACCACTGTCCGGCACACCCGCAACATTGCCGAAGTGTATGATTCAGAGTTGGTAGCGCACCTTGGCTTTCATTCTTCTCCGCCCACCAACTCCCAAAATTGATTGATGGGGAAGTTCTATATACACCACCTGCGATGGGTTTATGGTTTGAAAAATGGTAGCATCACTATCACCTGGATGGCAATCAACAGGGAGATTATATATGAAAGATCATTCGCATTATGATAAACATATCCTCTTCTTCAATCTCATCAGTATCTTCGCTTTCGTTTCCATGTCTATCAACAGCTTCACCAAAAACAAAGTTGTCACTATCTTCATGAGCCGCGTGGTCACCACCATCATCATCATCATCATCGTCGTCATCGTCATCATCATCATCATCATCATCATCATCGCGAGGGTCATCGCCATCATCATTAGCATCACCATCATCACAGTTGTCATGTTCATGAACATCAAAACCCATATGCGCGATAATCTGTGTTGTCATTTTTTGAATCCATGGAACCCTGAGGTCTGGTAGAGAAGATGGTCTTTTTGAACGTGCAGTGAATATGGGCGTAGCGCTACCATGTTCGATATCCTATGTCACTTTGCCAATGGCAGACCCTGATGATGGTAGTTTGCAGTTTGTGCAATGGCCATATCTATCCCCATATGATTTTGTGACCTGGCTGCATGGTATCTTTGGTGGAACATTTTGGGTAAGATTTATCGTGTCTACATGGTTCACTCGCTTTACCATCACTTGGGCGGCCATGCCCACATCAGGTTTCTGCGCTGCTTTCGATGGGCTTCATCGATGCCTTAGTCGCAGATTTTGGCTGTCTGGAAGCCTATTGGCGTGGCATGTTGGGTGATTTCCCTACCCATCCTGTGGCTAGCAAAAACTGTCGGAACTGTGTGGGGTGTACCTTGTATTGAATCTCTTTTAATGATTAGCAAAGGTTTTATTTTTTGAAGTTACCACCCCTTATGCCTGGTGATCTCTTATGTATAAATATGTATAAAATTGGGGGCCAATGTTTCCCATGCTGTGTAAGGTGATGAAATCGATTCATTGAATGAGTCCTGGATGTTCGTCCTATGGTGTAGCGATGCCAGTCCCTACCGCACTGATTCTGCAAGCTCCAGATTCCCCATTGCAGTGGTTCCAGCTTCAACTTACTGGCATGATGACAACGGTGTGAATTTGACCCTTCAAAGGATTGCCTCTGAAGTGACCATGAGCTTTAACAAGTTGAGTTTAGAGGGCATCAAAGTTCGAAACCTTCCGTCCCTTGGTGGTGGGACTGCTGCTTGACGTAAGTCACGAACAACTATTTTTGGTTTTCCAGCTATACAGGGCAACCCAATGTTTATTTAAACTGCGCTGGTTCGTCATTTCGTAATACAAAACCTTTTTTCTTGTTCAATACCAAAAGGACCCAAAAGGTTCGCAGCATGTTTTGCATCTGTATGAGTGTTGAGCTGGCAAGCCCCAGGTTGCAAAACTCTTCTTCTACATCATGGGGTTCAGGGGTGATTGGAAGGCCCTGCGAATGATGTTTTCCTTGAACCGTCACTACAATGTGAACCAGGATGGGGTTTGAAAGGAATCCCAAAACAAACATAGTTGTAGAAAAGTTTCACTCCCGCAATGTCATGTCCAGCTGCCACCCTTCCCTGATCCAGGTATGCTGGCTTTGTGAAGCCACGAAAGGTAACGAAGGCGATCTCGCAATGGCCTTCACAAACACACGGCTGGATGCCCCATGGAGGGCCACTTATTTGAGAAGTTGCCCGTGGGACTCACCCCCAAGTTATCAAAGCCTCATAGGTTTTGATCGGAGAATGATGATGGGTGACTTGCTCCATGTTTTCAACTTAGGTACTGCCAGGAATACAGCTGCCTGCGTTTTGAAGATAATTCTGCAATCTACTTTGATCTTTGATGCTGCTACGATTGAACTCCGAATGGAGCAGGCAACATCTGATCTGAGGAACTTTGCCAAACAAAACCACTACCAACTCAAAATGAAGAAATTTTCCAAAAGCAAGTTGAGATGGCAATCGAAAAAAATCCCGGAATTGGGGTCATCTGGAAGTGATTGCCATGTGGTGATGGTATGGCTAGAAAAATTATTGTTGCGTCATGCCTTGGATTGCTTTCGGGACATCACCATGTTGGTTTGGAGCGCCAACCATTGCATGCGAACCCTTTATGCTGGGCAGTGGTTTCTGACACCGGGTGAGAAACAAACTGTGAGTTTCCTCGGCACCGTTTACATCAACACTTACTTGAGGCTGAGTCATGAAGCCATCGCGAACCGAGAATTCATGTGGAAAACAATTCCGAAGATACATGCTTTTGATCATTTGACCCATTCTGAAAGGAATGTCAATCCTGCTTTTTATTCAACATGGATGGACGAAGACTTTTTAAAAAAGATATCGAAAACCATTCGGTTGACAAATGTCAAAAGTGCACAAATCCGAGTATTGCAACGTTGGTCGCTTGCTGTGCCGGCTAACCTCTCAAAGAGCAAAGCCAATTTGCGCTAAGTTCCCCTGCTGTCACTGCCATACTGGCCCGGCAAGGTGGCAAAAAATTGAATTTGTGTCAAGCGGGTTGTTGGCTTGAGTGGCCTGTGGAGAACGGTCTGTTCTTTGATTCCAAAAAAACATGTTCTGTTTGGGTATGGGCTGCAATTCATTTGCTGTGTTTTTGTTTGCGCAGCAGCTGCGGACCAATTGGTAAGGGAAGTGGCCCTTTCAACACTTCACCCAAAACTTGTCATCTCATGTTTGGGTATCAAAGTAATTATAGGTCAACACGGTCAACATACTTAGTATTAGCTGGTGGGGTTTCCTTTGGAATCAAGACACAAACCTGGAAGCAAACATGAATAAGACTGCCTATGTTGGATTCCCATGTGGGATCATGTGGGTGAATCTGTGGAACTTGGGTGGTTTACCTCCGCAATCCACAAATATATATGTTGCAAATTATTTCCACACACGAACCATGCCTACATGTATCTACCAAAAAACGAAAGAGAGAGAAAGAGAGAGAGAGAGAGAGAGAAAAAAAAGAGACACAAACAATTATCTACGTATACTGTATAGTTGTATTCTTTAAAAAAGTGTGTTTATAAAGACATATTTATCTATATATATATATAACTATATATATATATATATTCAAATGATTTTTATTCATATGATATATATATATATGTATCCCTTCCCACCCGGCCCTGTATCTTGCGCGCACTATCTGCTATTAAATCAACACTTAGTTCAGACCAGCGCCTCACAATGACATCAGGCTATTTGTGCATGTGCCAGTCGCAGGCGCAACTAGCTCAACATTCACATTGCATCATCTTGTATGCAAAGAACAAGCAAAACGTACTAATTATGCCCTCCCACCCATCCGCATGCATGTTGCTTGATGTTTTTAACAGACCAAATGCAGTCACTCACTGTGGCTGTGAAATTTACCTTTGTTGAGCGTGAAAACGGGTATGGCCGTGAAAACAAGGTATGGCCGTGAAAAGCTTGCCCCCATGATCGAGAAGCCATTGGCTACGATTTTGGTGATCGATCCGTCCTCCAGGTTCCAGGTGATCGACGAAGGCGACCTTGACACCGACATCGTCTTCACCACTGGCAACTGAGCTCTTCCACCAGTTCTCATGCACGGCCGCGAGCTGGGCGAACTGCTCAGTCTGCTCCGGCCCCTCGACCCTCGCCTTGTTCTCGCGGACCGACTTGATGGTTTGGATCAAAGTTGGCCCCGAGATGTGGGAGACAGTGAGCCAAGTGCCGGGAACCGACGTGCGAGAGCACTTCAGATCGATGCGGTTGTTGGCGTCCCGGAACCTCATCTCAATGCGATCGGCATCATTCCCAACCGCGTCATCTGAGGACCGTGAACACACCCTCAACTCAAATCTCGAACGAGCTGAGTCGCCAGCTACCACTGAGCCCTGTGGTCCGATCGAATAAGTTCGACCGCCACACTCAAAGCTCAGAACTGAGACTCTCCAGCCCATGAACACTGCGACCACAACTGAAAGCCTAGGCTGACCTTTGCTGGCTTCGCGGACAAAGAACTCGTCCACGAACTGCTGCTGAACCGTGAGGTCGGTGTCAGATCTGAACCCCCTGAAGATCCAGTGGAACAAGATCTCGTTCCCATTGTAGATCTTGACATCCATGTAGGAGGCAGACGTATCGCGGAGCATAGGCCAGCTGAAAGGCTGGAATGCGGGATGGGACAGTGCACGGGCAGTGCTGGCGTCCCATCCACCGCAAGTGTTCCCCGTGAACGACTCGATCGAGATCGCCACCACGACCTTGATGCCGTCCAACGTGTAGTTTCCAAAAAGAGCCAGATGGAAGCCTGAGTTGGGAGGCATGACCTGGTCTCTCTCCGTGAGCACGTTGATCGAGCTGGCAGCGTTTGCCATGATCTCAGACACTAACCAAGTTTGGAAAGGCGAGACCATGCGATCGTCACGGCAGTCGACGACGATCATCGATTGATCCTCCGGCTCAGGACCTTCTGCAATGGGCTCCAGGAACTTCGGCATCTGCACCACATAAGGGTTGTGTGCCATGTTGGGGCCCGATCGCTGCCCTCCCCACTGACTTCCTCCACCGTTTCCACCACGACCAAATGAGCCGTAGCCAGCATATCCAGAGCCAGATCTTCGCGACATGGCTTGAACAAGGAGGAGATGGGATGAGCGAAGGGTTAACCCAGGCCCTGAGCTTTTGAATCTCAGAGGATCGATCTTGAGCCAAAATGGCAAGATCGATCGATCTTCCATTTGGCTGCATGCAACTGTGATGATCCAATCGATGTTTGATCAATATTCACGCTTCGCAAATGATAAATGAAAAAGGGTGAACACCCTTGGTCTCAAATAAAATTAAATCAAGATCACAACATCCAATCAATGAGGGTGAGCACCCTCCATCAACGCACAAGATCAAGCAGTTGGTTGTGAGGAAGAACTAAATTGAATCCCATATCCCAACCTAACCAGACCGAAGATAAGTGACCATGTATATATATATATATACATCCAAAAATATGTATGTATATATATATATATATATAAGTGTATGTATATGAGTATATGTATCCTGCAGGGCTTCTACACATCTCAATCCGATGGCCATGTTGACCACAACCAAAACATGTTCGTCTTCGAGCCATGTCATTGCAAATTGACGCATGATTTGTGCCTTCAAAAAGCTAGTTCGTTTTGCTCTTCTAAACTCCAACAAAACAAAAACCCTGTAAAACACACGAGATTTGATCATGCCCCAAAAACACGCGCGAACTTCTACCAGCCCGACGCGTTAAAAAAAAAAAAACTGTGGTCTGTCTGAGTTGATGCGAAACGAAAAAACCTTCCAAATCAGTGGCATTTGAGGATTTCAATGTTCGCTCAATGATCTTTTCTTTTTTGTTCCTATCCCATAGTATCCATGGTGCTGCTATATATGGTAACATGGATCCCATCAATATACCCCAAATGTTAGCATATATACCAGCACCATGGATCCTATGGGTATGATGGTCATTATGATAACATATGATAACCATGATCCTATGTTGCTTGATGATTTTCATGGTTACCGCTTATTTCACATAGCTATGGAAGCACCCGTTGGCACCCGCGGTAGCGCAGCTCCGAAACGCGTTCCGTCACTTGCGATGGGTGCCACATTGGTGCTGAACAAGCGTTGGTTGTTGGCGCAAACCTCAGAGTGTGTGTGTGTGTGTGTAATGTCAAAAAAACAACTAAAACTGAAAATCATAATGATAGTTGTTGTCCATATTCTGTCTAATCCAGGATCACTAAAAATATAATATTGTATATATGATACATACATGTATATATCTATAATGCATACGTATGTATGATACATACGTGTTTATGTATGTAGATGGCTGGACCATGTAGATATATGCACTATATGTCTATGTAAAAGGGCCATTCGATCTCGAACGGTCATTTGTCACTATCAATAATTAATTTAAATAAAGTAGAAGGAAAGGGTTCGTAAGGTCTTGAACACTTTCAGATATTCTTCTGTTTTATTACGCCTGCAGTAAAATCCAATGTGCTTAGTTTTGCTGACTTTGGGCGATTCCTATTTCTGCAGGGAGGCACGAATATTATGATTAATTACTCCCCTCTTGGGTATGAGGTAGAAAATAATGACAGTTATATATATATATACACCCTCTGGTTATTTAACGTAGCCATGGAAAATGGCCCATTTATAGATGATGTACCCATTAAAATGGTGATTTTCCATGGCCATGTTAAATAACCAGAGGGTATGTCACTGTACAATATATGATGCGGCCAGCAACGTATAAATAAAATGGTTTCAACAACGTGGTCCAGTTTTCTGCCAGTTTTGTGACCAACATCACAACATCTCCCAGGGTTGTCCCGGGCTTTTCCAATGTTCGAAGGCCCGCATGGCAGGCTGAATGCGAACGTGTACGTACAAATTATGTACGTGTGCATATACAATATGTATGTATATGTATATATATATATATTATGTAATATGCACATGCAGCACTTCTGGAACATAAACATATTATGTAAACATAACTTAACATCAAAACAGAATTGATTAAATTACTTCGGCGATCATTTTGTTGAAAAGATTACTTATGCGTGCACAAATAACTCCAAAGTAACAGTAACAGACATTTGGATTTTCCACATTCTGAGTGAACTCCCCCATGAAACCAGGCATTAAAGTACACCAAAACTATCACTTGAGAATTCGGAATAGTAAACTGGCTGGTGGTATCCCTACCCCTCAGAAAAATATGAGTTCGTCAGTTGGGATGATGAAATTCCCAACTGAATGGAAAAATAAAACAATATATGGAAAGTCATAAAATTCATGTTCCAAACCACCAAACAGATCACCAAATACCAAGCGACCTGATCCACCTCTTTTTGACTGATTACTTGGAAGCTTGGCGTGATCCCATCCAGTTGTGCCAACTGTGCGTTCAAGGTCCTTGGCCAAACAGGTCAGATGTTGGTGGATTGTGTGCGGGTCCATGTTAAGAACATGGGGGTTTCCATAAATGGAGGTATCCCAATAGCTGGTTGGTTTATAAGGGAAAATGGTTGGTTTATATCTAAAATGGATGATTTAGGGGTACCCCCATTTTAGGAAATCTCCACATGGAATCCAAATTTAAATCTGCAGTTTCTCTTCATTGTTGATTTTCTTTCGGCTGAAAAACACAAGGGACTTCAGATTAACATAGATTTAACATGATCAACCACATCTATGGATGTTTGATGATTTTTGGCAATTCTTGACCCACCACGGATTTCAGATTTGACAGTTTCACAGTTGCCAACCCCCAAAAGTATTCATAATCACTGAATTCATCACATGTGCTGCTGCTGCGCCGAAAGACCTTGATAGGATTTTACAAAGATAGGACAGAGGCGGCCATCAACAAATATGTTGATGGGGTTAAACTATTATATCAATAACAATCACAACCTGGTGATTACGCCACCAATCCCAAACACATTGTCATATGCGCGTGAATTTGGAACATCCCACTTTTAGGCTTGAACTGTTGAACATCAACATGTCACATACTTTTACACCGTTCATGAGTATTGATTTAGCCTGCGGCACACCCTGCACCTCCAAAAACATGAGTTGAAACAGTTGAAACTCAGTTTTTAACTGAAAGAGTTCAGCCAGGAGTCGACATGTCGCTGAACTGAAACACAAAGACACCTTTGGCAGACAAAAACACGTCCTCACAGAGGCAGTGCGAGGCAGTGCATGGCAGTGCATGGCAGTGCGAAGCTCTGGCGGGCCAGTTTTCAATGGCCAAGAAACGTGAAGAAATGGCGATGTGGTGGGATATATATATATATAATATTATATATAATAATATAGTATAATATACTATATATATGTATGTATACATATATATATTATTATTATACTATATATATATATATATACATTTGAACAAAATAGATCTGCATAAAGTACAATTTGGGGATGATGATTTACCTTTTACCTGCCAGGCTTTAGCATTTTTTTCCTCACCGAAAGTCCAGCTTGACGGTCAGCAGGGTGAATTCGTTGAGGCTGGTCTTATTCAACCATGGTTAGCCAAAGTTACCTGAAACGTGGGAGGGATGGCAGTGTGTCAAAACCTTGTACCCCTGGTGAACATGAAAATAGCTGGTAAATGGATGTTCATCCCTCTAAAAATGGTATTAATAGGTATTGATCCATAGCCATATGATGAGAGGTTATATTTGACATCCCCACAGTTCTATACGAAACTGGGCCAATATATGATATCTTGTTTTTTTGTTAGAACTGCTTTGTATGATGTCGTCATTTTCATGTATTTCGCAAAAAAAACAATTGATTGTATTAAATTGCTTTTAGTACGGTTAGTTGCTGATATGTCTTTGATATGTCTTTGATGAGTGGCGTGGTATTGTAGAAAGTTTTACCCTCTGGTAAACTAACATAGCTATGGAAAATCACCATTTTTCATGGGTAAATCCACTATTTCTATGGTCATTTTCAATAGCTATTTTGACATAACCAGAGGGTAAAACATCCAACGGCCCAGTGCCGCCCCCCAGTCGCGTGGCAAAACCGCGGTCCTGTTGCTCCGGAGATGGAGTGGTGGCCTCGATGCTGGCGCACATTCTGGTGGCTTTCCAACCTACGGGGTAGGTTGGGGCTTGAAACATGGGAGGGATGGCTGGTGATATATGGCAGTGTGTGAAAACCTTGTACCCCTGGTGAACATAAAAATAACTGGTAAATGGATGTTCATCCCACTAAAAATGGTATTAATAGGTATTGATCCATAGCCATATACAAAAAAAAAACAATAGCTGGGTGGTGATGACCCAAACAGGCCACATGTCATGATCTCTACAACAAGAATAGGTGGCGATACCCTTTGGCAGTGGCGATACCCTTTGGTAAACTAGCAATAGCTATGGAACATGGTCCAGGTATAGTTGATTTACCTGTTAACGGTGTCTGCACGGGACCCCCGAGAAGATTCAGCTGAGATCAGGAACTGAACGACACTACAAACAAAAATATGACAGGTGCAATAATAAAATAGTAACATGATAATATGCAATGTACAAGTAGTTGTTATTAGTCTACCAGAATTTATGAATAAACATGATATAATAATGTACATATATATATATATTAACAATCAATTGTATATAATACGGTATAATAGTAATCCAAAACATTCAACGCTATGTTGCTCCATTTCTGGCAAACACAAAAACAATCAATCACATAACATTACATATATAATAATAATAATATATATACATATTTATGATTATACATATGTAGAATCCATCATTCACTACCAATGGTTTTCCCAGGATAACCCTGCAAAATGTCGTCATGTCGTCGGCCTTGCATGTGTTTGCCGATCTGCTCACTGATGGAATTCCATTGCTTCACATCCTGGGGCTGCTGAAAAAACTGCGTAAGTTGACCAATAAAGAAACACCATACATTGGCAAAAACATACGATAGTAATAGTAAATCCATATGATAGTAATGATAGTAATACTCATATGATAGTAATCACTGATCATATGATAGTAATAGTTAAACCTTCATTGTGATCAATAATCATATGATAATATGATAGTAATAGTAAATCAAATGCATCATGTTCAGGCCATGTATATATATATACATGATCAACTGGGGTAAACATACCAAAAGATGTGGAACATCCACTAGTTATAGATTGTCTTCCCAAGAAACCATTGGCACCATGGGTTGTCCAAATCTATGTCAGTTTACCGCACCGTTATTGCCCGAAATACCAGTTATAACTACTTATAACCTCATTTATAGAATGTATGATCATAATCCCATTTATAAGTAGATTATAAGTACACCCCATTTTATTATCATAATCATTTACAGTTATTTCACTAATAGCCATGGCCATAACTGTAGGGTAAACCATGCTCCTTAATTCCCGTGAAGATCAACTTCGCAGGTGGCGAGCTGGGTTTGGGCGTCGTCGTCACGGCCACGGGACTCTGACCTCACGTCCCAAACCGGGTAGGGATCTTTGGAACTCATGGTCACTACAAGGGGTCCGAAACATGAGAGGATTGGACCAACAAGATGATACTTGATCCATCTTGATCCCTTTTTTGTGGAGATTGATTGAACCTGATTGAATCACCTAACAGTCCTAAAAAAAAACTGGAACTCATTTCATATGGAACAAGTGGATCCTCAGAGAATTCGTCCCTGAGGGGAAGCCATACATCATCCAGTCAGGCTGTGCATGGCTTGTCGCGGAAAACCCATTAGTCGTCCCAAAACTATGCCATGAAAAATGCCATGATCACTACGTTGATCATAAGCCCTGAAAATCAGTTGCCAGTTATACTTTTTGATTGGTATTTCTATGGTTATTTCTATGGGGTTATCAGTCCATGAATGAGGTGATTTCACTGACTTATACCTGAAAAAGGGCCATAACTGTAATCAATTAGCCAAAGATTACCCTCTGGTAATTTAACGTAGCTATTGAAAATGACCATAGAAATAGTGGATTTTCCCAGCTATAAAATGGTGGATCTTTCCATAGTTTTTTGTTAGTTTACCAGAGGGTAAAATCAACCCATATAGACCTACCACCCAGTTGCCGGCTGCACAGGTGGCTTTCTGCCAGCCCTCTGGGAAGAGATCTGGAGATCCTCCGGTGACACGGACAGGTGGCAAAGCTGTGACCCGGTGAGCCGCAAATGTCATCCCGATCAACTAGTACCCTCTGGTAAACATACAAAAAACTATGGAAAGATCCACCATTTTTCATGGGAAAATCCACTATTTCTATGGTCATGTTCAATAGCTACGTTAAATTACCAGAGGGTAAATGTATGCAAATGTCATCCTGATCTATCTTGTAGCACCATTGTAACCATCTAGAACCGGTATCCAATAGCCAACACGGTATTAATTGATATTAATTGTCTATATCAACGGCGAGTAACTCAACAGTTGATTGCCTATATTGAGGTTTCCTAAAATGCGGCCTAAAATCATCCAAAAGTAGACCATGACTTAGTATTCAGACCCATGTTTTTTGGGATCACCCATTTTTAGGCAGCAAACTATATGCCTTCAGACCGATGTATCTTGATGCTGAGGTTGCTGCCCGCCCTCTGGATCAACACGTGGTCACAATGGAAACAAGTTGTTGAACCAAGGATCCATGAAATAAGAAAATACATACATATAGCTATAAATGTGTTTTTGTTATAAAGTAAAGTTTTATACGTATTATAAACAAAAAATAAATATCGGTTGGTATCATTCAGTCATGTATTATCATGTTTATTCCATGAGTTGAATTGCTGATGAAGCCGTGAAGCCCGCTCTCGGTCAGAACCTGCTGTTCATATGAAACACCCACCAGAAACATCTAGAGACCCGTTGTTCATGGGGGGAATTTAGCTGGTTGGTGCTATACCTACCCCTCTGAAAAATGATGGAGTTCGTCAGTTAGGAATCAACTGAATGGAAAAAAACAAAAATCTTCCAAACCACCAACCAGTTACACTTGTTGAAGATTAATAAGGGGTGTTTCATATGACCAGGAGGATGGGCGAAATCTGGTGACAGGAGGCCCTTGGGATTGCACTTGCACTCAGACAAAGGCTGGTCATCCATGCAGGGAGGCTGACAGAAAGCGATGGGTGTCATGCATTGCTGTTTCCCGCTTGCAACGCACTTCTTCCTCGGAGTCGGCTAGTCGGCTGGGTCCCGAAAAAATCTTCTGCACTTCTGCTGAAGGGTGCTAACATGTTTTCGCACACACCATCCCAAATGAAGGCAAACCCCTGGATGAAACATGATGCGCTTTCTGTGGTCTTGACCCTTTGGGATTGATGCATTGTGGACGGATGCACCACAAAAATTGGGATGTGAACAAGTGGGGTAACCAGTGGGGTACCTCCCAAGATTACAAAATTGAGGTCCACACAAAAATCAGAAATTCAGCATAAATTCTGAACAAAAATCGCCCTGTCAAGGCAATGCCTTGGCGCTGGTGACTCATATCTTTGGGAAACCCCCCACAATTATGGGCATTATGGGCACTCGATACGGCCCCTATAGACAAGCATCTCAAGACACGGTTTTGCGTTACCCTGTGGTGATTCAAGATAGCTATTGAACATTGCCAGTTTAAAGATGATTTAACTATTGAACAAATGCTATTTTCCATGACAATGTTGATTGCCAAATGGTATATCTCATTATTGTGTTTTCGGCCATAATTGCTATCCCTCCCTGCTTTGACACACGACCGCCAGGCATCATGAAAGGACAGCAATACCTCAGCGAAACCCGGGTCAACAGCTGCAAACCTGAAAAAATACATAAAAAATCCAACGTCCGAAGATGTCCGAAGAATGTTTCACGCTTGGAGATTGCGATTATTAAATTGATAGGGGGTGAAAACGTAGATGTCTGGGGGGATGTCATCTTGGCGAAGCTTATTGGAACGTCGAAAAAAAAATCACCAAATCCAAAAATGTGACCGCCAGTGACACCACTGAGGTCAAGACTCCTACAACTAGCTGGTTGGTTAATATACTGTTAATAATAATGGTTATTATATATGGTTAATGATGGTTAATAATAATCTGGTTGGTGGTTGACCTACCCCTCTGAAAACTGATGGAGTTCGTCAGTTGGGATGATGACTATTCCCAACTGAATGGAAAAACAAAGCCATGTTTCAAAGCACCAACCAGATATGGATCTGGGCGGTAAATTAGAATATTTCACTGACCTGAATTGTTCGGCCATTTGGAAATGATTCCCTGAATCCTAACTATGATTTTCTCGTGAGGGAGAACAGGGTTCGGTCGTAATAATTGACCCACATACTCTCCGGTAAATTAATCTAGCTATTGAAAATTGCCATAGAAATATTAGAAATAGCTGATTTGCCCACTAAAAATGGTGATTTTCCATCGTTTTTTGTATGCTTACCAGGCCGGGTATATCCTCATCTTAGTTGGTTAAGTATGGCATACCGCGGCTTCCACGTTCATGGATGTGGGACTAAACCCCGAATCATCCATGCGAGGTACTGTGGATGGTTGCGAAATCCTGCACCACCAAAAGGATGGTAGAAACCCAAACTAAACAATGGGATACAGTTCACCACTTATCAACTGGTGATTCGGATTTCTTCCATCCATAATACCCTCTGGTAAGCGTTTACGAAAAACTATGGAAAGATCCACCATGTTTCATGGGAAAACTCACTATTTCTATGGCCATTTTCAATAGCTTTTTGTATGTTTACCAGAGGGTAAATCACCATCAAATCACCATTTATAGTTGTTAAATCACCATTTATAGTTGGTAAATCACCATTTATAGTTGGTAAATCACCATTTTCCAGTTCGCTATGTTAGTTAGTTTACCAGGCCGGGTATCACCCACTTCAAGCTGCATGCCAGTTGAACATTGCTCTGAATGGAGACAGCGCTCGCAGGCGCCCAAGCGGCCGCGCGGAATGCAACTCACCTGCGGCCGTGTTTCGAAAAAAACTGGCTATGGCCGCGCCTCGAAAACATGATGAATTTAAGGGATAGAATTGATATGGATACACACATGTGCACATTATATCAGATCAATTACAATATATATATATATATAAATATATAAATAAATAAATATGCATGTCAACGTATATATGCAATATTCCCTGAAGACATAGAATGCAGAATCGGATCCTGTATGTTTGTGTTGTTTGACGGACAGCCAATTGGTTTTTCACAAAATGCATATGCTGAGTACTCAGGGCATGTTATATATGCAATCAAAGAAACATATGAAATCATATGAATAAACGATATAAGCCACAGTACCTGACCATTATATAGTTGATATCAGATATCCCTTCATGATTCCATCAACCTATTATTGAATACCCTCCATATTGGACTTCCAAAATGAATTTAGATTCATTGATTCATTCCACAACCATGGTTTCTAGCAAGTTTCATATTGGGGTGAATGGATGCAGACCCCAAAAACTTGATAAGTTCACATGTGCCTTAAATCATTTACAGCAAAACAAGCATATATACATGTTACACACATATATATATATATATATGCGAAGGTTTCCTGAAATAGGTATGCCCCCAGTCATTTTCCATTTATAGATCTGGGTTTATTTTTAATATTTCACTAACCTGAATTCTTCGGCCATTTGGGGACGATGTCCCTAAAATTAACCATGATTCCAGCGAGGGAGAACAGTGAGGTTGTAATAATTGACCCAAATACTCTCTGGTAATTTAACCTAGCTATTGAAAATTGCCATAGAAATAGTTGATTTACCCACTAAAAATTGTGATTTTCCATCGTTGTTTGTATGTTTACCAGATTGTATATCCATTTATAGATTGTATTTTCCATGACATAAACCGTCACAAACCATCCATCCATTGAGGGTACCACCAACTGACGATTCGGCAACCTCTGAAAAATGGGGATTGAACTCACCCCCCATCACAATTATCCCCCATGGTAATCAAAATGGAAAGCGGCTTAAAATCTCAAGTTTTTGAAAGGAGGTTTCAAACGGAAGGTCATCTACAAATTGGGGATTTACCATGAAATTGACCATTGCCAGGTTCGATGATCAAGGATAATCTTGAGTAAATCCGTTCCCAATATATCACATCCAGGGTTTTGCACACCACCCTGGGAATTCCATACTCAGACTGCCCATTTCTTAGATCACACCATAGGGGATACGAGAAACCACCTTTTTATCGTCACCTGGAAGGAATCACAGGCCACCAGGCATAGGGTCCGGCTTAGAGTGGAAACTATCACCCTCCTCCAAAACTGGCCACTGGCGTTCTGTCAATGGCAGTTGAAAACAAATTAAAACAAAACGTCCATTGACCTTCAAAGCACTGCAAAACACCCTCTCTAAAATACATGATCCAGGATGCTCTCCAACAAAACAGTCAGCCTGGGTTTGCGGGCGAAGCAAAAACCATTCACAAAAATACAAGGGTGACTGCATATTTTGAAGAAATCCCTGGGGATGTGAAATCCCCATAGTTGTACCCTGAAAACTTTGGTCAGGTCCAAGTTGCCATGCACGCATTGTCCACGCATCCCAGCCCCGCTCCATGTGCTGCGGCTTGTGGCGCGCCAAGCGGCGCTTGTGCCGGCTGTTTGACGGGCGCGGCGGGCCGCGAAGGGCTTGGAAAGGCGGCGGAGATGGCCTTGAAACAAAATGAGTGGAGGACTCAAAGTTGGGATTGATGCTTTGAAATACAATAAAGATAGAGCTAGCTTAGGGGTTGCAGTCCAGATCAGAGTGCGGGTTCCGGGGCCCTTTATCCCCACGTGATTTTTTCGCCCCACTTTTACTTTGACTTGCTTAAGGAACCCCAAAAAATATGACCTATAGACTCTCCTAGTAATGGATTTCCCATTGGGAAAATAAAAAATCATCGTCAGCAAATCCAGGTCCAAGTTGCAGGGCAATCCTTCTTCAATCTGGGCACTTCGGGCAGATGGTCTGCCACCCCTGCGCCCAACTGGCACCCCTCACTGCCTGAAGTCATGGCCCAGTGAAAACAGGCTGGGGCGGATAAATAACAGCAGTATAACAGTAAATTTATATCATATAAGATCAAACCTCTGTTCTTTGATTGTGATAGTTTGGTTTTTGAAAATGATAGTTTCATTTTGGGTGAAGCAATGCAGTTGTTTTTTGCTTTTCAATTTGGGGATGGTTTTCCAACATGTTTCTTTTCATTTTCTAGGGATAAGTTTTCATGCTAAAATTGAAACCTGGAGAGGTGGGGGCAGGTCAGAACAAAAAAACATGCTGTAATTCAAACAGCAAGTATCATGATTACTGAACCAAACGCACACACACATACACACAGTTGTCATGCTTAAATTGAAACCTGAAGGGGTGGGGGCAGGTCAGAACAAAAAAACATGCTGTAATTCAAACAGCAAGTATCATGATTATGAACCAAACACACGCACATACACATACACAGACACACTGCCAATGACCATCAAGTATCATGAACATATAAGTAAATACATAAATGTATTTATATATATATATATACACTTAATCAATGGACATGCACATATGATACCAATATAGTGTCACCAAGAGTCATGCACGTATGTCACCATCACAAATCAAAATATACCATCCAGTGTCCCCCAGTTGTCACCCACTTGTGATACCACCATGCAAACATGTCATGAACATAAATATGATACCATTAATTTGTACCTGCAGGTTTCCTGGACAGGAGCTGCCGTTGCAGCAGCCTTCAGCTGGGGATGGTGGGGATAACGTCCCTGAACAAGGGACTAGCCCTGAACAAGGGCATCATAACCCCTAAAATAATAGGCTTCAATTCCAAGACTTGGCATTCCAGGCCTTGGCAATTGAATTAAGACATCAAATTCAATTCCAAGACTTGGCGTTCCAGGCCTTGGCAATTGAATTAAGACATCAATTTCAATTCCAAGACTTGGCGTTCCAGGCCTTGGCAATTGAATTAAGACATCAGCTTCAATTCCAAGACTTGGCATTCCAGGCCTTGGCAATTGAATTCGTATCCGTTCCAAGAAAAGGGTTAAACAAAAATCTGTCCCGTAGCTGGCAAATACATACATACACCTCCCTTTCATTTTCAAAGTTGTGAGAATTCATCAGGAATAATTCCAGTCTAGATTTTTTTCATATTCTTATTTTCACAAATGAGCTGGATGACTATATGCATAGTTCTTTTTTTTGTCTGGTGCGTGGCATTTTTGGGGCTTGGTGTGATCTACAGGTGTTCAATGCATATACATGACTATACTCATACACTTCTAGTGGATTGCATGCTCCAACCATCAGGTTCCCAAATGTGGTTGTAGGAATGGAGCTGCATAGGAACCTAAATACCGACTGGTTTGACATTAGGATTTCAAATGGCAGACCTTCAGGCAAATTAAACAAAAACACACTGTTTTTGAAGACATGATTAGATATGAATAGTTGTGACTAGTGTAACGATGGAACAGTCTGAATTTGCTTACTATGGTCTTTGCACCAAAAGGTGTCGAACTTTAGCTGCTCTTGACAGAAAACACATTGTACCAACAGGGCACTGTTACTCTTCTAGATAAACCATACTCTTAGAGGGACATTCCATCATGCCTCCCTTGGGGATTTCCATTCAAGGTTCCAAATGTCCAAGAGGAACAGAATTGCTTGTTTGCTTCTCTTGGGCTTCAATTTCAATATGATGTTGTTATTGATGATGATTATTAAATGTGGAAGCTGAACATGAAATTCAGACTTGGTCATTTTCCAAGTCTGCAAAATCTCTATGGTTCGGTCTTCCAGAAAATGTTTTGGCACAATAGTGAATCTTAAATGCACTTCAAGACTTGGCCTCGCAAGTCTTGCACTGACAAACGTGATCACTGAGACTTTAAGGTTTTTCTCGATGTGATGCAAATGAGTTCTTCAAAAGTTCAAGGCTTGAATCCAAGTCCAACCACTCATGTTTGTCTCAATTGGCTACACTTCCCAGGTCTTTCACATGTGGTTGATTCATGGTAGTTACCACTAACATGGTTCAGAACTTGGCTGTATCAGTATTACTTTTTTGTCCTTTCATGACCTGGTTTTTCAAGACATGAACACATTTTTTTCAAGACTTGGCATCCCAAGTTTTGAAACAAAAAGGTAAGAGTTCACCCTTAACTTGTCCAAATGCATTGCACCAAGTTCTGGATTTGATTGGACTTGGCATTCCAAGTCTGGAACTCAACTTGACCCATCTTGGTAACTATTTGACCTTCCAAGTCTTCAAGCTCAAGACTTGGGTTTTTGTTGCAAGGTTTTCTGCCTTGGCTCACCAATCAAGTTAGTCTTTGCGACTTTTTAAAAATAATAGGTTTCAACACTTGCTACCGCCCCGGGCCTGAAAACTTGCAAACAAGCTGTTCTGTAGTTTGATACTTGTTATGTTTCCTGTTGGGTGTCCAGAGTGGTAAAGATTGGTCTTGTGCTCACGACTTGGAACTCCAAGTCCGGAGCCCAAGAATGATATATTGCAATACTTGGCCTTCAAGTGTTGGAAATGATTTTATTTCACTTTCAAGTTTTAACCACTCCTAACATTTTACAACCATGTACTAAAATGTGTAACAAGCGGAAACTTTATACATGTGTTTTTTCCTGCCATATGTGGGGCTGTGCCCGCATGATTCTTTACACATGATGCAATCTTAAAACTTGGCTTCTCAAAATTTGAAACCATTTGGTGTTGTATGCTTGTACATGCCTTTTACAAAAGACACAATGTGGAATTTCATGGCATCATGCCATCTTCAAGACTTGGCTTCCCCAGTCTTGAAACTGTTTGCAGCTAGTTTTTGCTAACAATAGACTGTGGACATCCAAGGCATGAACACGATGGGTTGTTTTTCAAGACTTGGCATCCCAAGTTCTGAAACGTGACAATTTTTCAACCCATGCCCCTAACTTGACAACGGTACCAAGTGTAACACCCATCCAGATTTGGCAGTCCAAAGCGGTAGGGATGGGCATTGTGCAGCTTAAGAATGGTGCATTGCAAAATTTGGCCTCAAAGTGTGAAAATGAGGTTCCTGAGAAAATGGTGTAGAAACTTGCCACACTTGCCTTCCCAAGTCTTGAATCCTTTTGGGGCAAAGAATTTCAACATTAGACCCTTGCCACGAATTATGTCTTTCATGATTTGGCCTTCCAAGACATGAACACAAGTGAACATGATTGTCAAGACTTGGCAGCCACAGGTCTGAAATCTTACACCTTTTTTTTGAAGACTTGGCATGCCAAGTTTTGAAATGTTACATTTTTGCAACTCCATGTCCCCAAGTCTTGACAATGACTGCACTATTCAAGACGTGGCTCTCAAGTCTTCAAACTTGTCGGGGTAACGAATTTCAACATTAGACCCTTGCCGAGAATTATGTCTTTCATGACTTGGCCTTCCAAGACATGAACACAATTGGAAAAAGTTTTTCAAGACTTGGCAGCCACATTTCTGAAATCTAACACCTTGTGTTCAAGACTTGGCATGCCAAGTTTTGTAATGTTGTTACATTTTTTTGCAACTCCATGTCCCCAAGCCTTGACAATGATTGCCCTATTCAAGACTTGGCTTTCCAAGTCTTGATTTTTTTTGGCGGTATAGAATTTCTTCAGTATAAGTAAGATTTACTGTATGTCTTTCATGATTTGGTCTTCCAAGACATGAGAACAAGTGAAAATGATTGTCAAGACTTGGCAGCCACAGGTCTGAAATCTTACATTTTTCTCTCAAGACTTGGTATCCCAAGTTTTGAACTGCTACATTTTTGCAACTCCATGTCCTCAAGTCTTGGCAATGACTGCACTATTTGAGACTTGGCTTTCCAAGTCTTGAAACTTTTTGCTGTATAGACTTTCAACAGTATAACAAAGACTTATGTCTTTCATGACTTGGTCTTCCAAGACATGAACACAAGTGAAAATGATTGTCAGGACTTGGCAGCTGCAGGTCTGAAATCGTACACCTTTTTTTCACGACCTGGCTAAACGCTGCATTTTTGCAACTCCATGTCCCCAAGTCTTGACAATGGTTGCACTATTCAAGACTTGGCTTTCCAAGTCTTCAAACTTTTCGGGGTAAAGAATTTGAACGTTAGACTCAAATAAGAACTTTCATGACTTGGTTTTGCAAGACGTGACCACAAGTGAACATGATTGTCAAGACTTGGCAGCAACAGGTCTGAAATCTTACATTTTTCTTTCAAGACCTGGTCTGCCAAGTCTTGAAACGTTACGTTTTTTGGCAACTCCATGTCCCCAAGTCTTGACAATGATTGCCCTACTCAAGACTTGGCTTTCCAAGTCTTGATTTTTTTTTGCGATATAGAATTTCAACAGTATAAGTAAGATTCATGTCTTTCATGACTTTGTCTTCCAAGACATGAACACAAGTGAAAATGATTGTCAAGACTTGGCAGCCACAGGTCTGAAACCAAGTCTTGAACTGCGGCATCTTTTTGCAACTCCATGTCCCGAAGTCTTGACAATGATTGCACTATTCAAGACTTGGCTTTCCAAGTCTTGAATCCTTTTGGGGCAAAGAATTTCAACATTAGACCCTTGCCAAGAATTATGCCTTTCATGACTTGGCCTTCCAAGACGTGAACACAAGTGAACATGATTGTCAAGACTTGACAGCCACCACAGTTCTGAAATCTTACATTTTTCTTGAGACTTGGCAATATCCCATGTCTTGAAATGTTACATTTTTTGGCAACTCCATGCCCCCAAGTCTTGACAATGATTGCACTAGATATTCAAGACTTGGCTGTCCAAGTCTTGAAACTTTTTGGGGCAAAGAATTTCAACATTTGACCCTTGCCAAGAATTATGTCTTTCATGACTTGGTCTTCCAAGACGTGACCGCAAGTGAACATGATTGTCAAGACTTGGCAGCCACAGGTCTGAAATCTTACATTTTTCTTTGCTACAATTTTGCAACTCCATGTCCT